TGACCTGAGCCGAAATCAAGAGTAGGACACTTAACTGACTGAGCTACCCAGGCGCCCCCTGAGTCCTCCTTTCAGATCTATTCTAGAGAGTCAGGTTTGGATGAGCCAGGAGAGATCAGATAGCCCTCTCTCTTTCCCACTCCATGATTCCTCCTTTATTTTTTTGATGAGGAAACAGGCTCAGAAAGAAAAAATAATGGCCCAAGTTCACGTGGTGAGTTGGTGGCAGATTTGGGGCTGGGACCCAGGCCCACAGACTCCCACTCAGTCCCTGCCTCTCTTTCAGGGCTCTGGGTATCACATGTTGGGTGCCTGACATGAATTAAATACTTGCTATGTGCTAAGCCCTGTGCTAAGCTCATGACATACACTATCTTATTGATTTTCCCAATAAACCTGAGATCGGTTATATTGTTTATAACCATTTTACTGACGAGGAAACTGAAGCTTAGATTGTTCACAGAACTGGGAGAAGTAGCAGAACTGTATAAGTGCAATTTGTTCTACAAGTCTGAAGCAAGTCAGAATATTTAGAGCTGAAATACATTGGCAGCAGGGTGTGCAGTAGAAAGAGTGTTGGAATTGGAGTCTCCGCCCTCGCACTGACAAGTCAGCTATTATTTTCTTCAGTACCAAAGCCTTAATTCCAAAGTCCAATTTGCTCAAGGGAGGGGAGGTTTCCCTTCCCCCTGGAAGCGTTTTGTGTACTGCATGAAAAGTGCACCCAAGCTAGGGTAGAATTGAAAAAGTACGGCTATTCTGCCTACTCAGGCAGATTCTGGACCGGGGTGTGTGATACCAATAGTCTATGAAGGTTTCCTAAGATCCTCAGGGAAATCTCCTCCAAGAGCCTCAGCCTGGCACTTCCACGCAAGGAGGATCACCAACTGGGCACAGCATCCCGGAGCTGAACTCCACTTCCATCCCCACACCCTCAGCCCTGAATGGCCCAGAGCGCAGAAGATCCAGGCACTCGTGCGTGTCACGGCCCACGCTGCACAAGTGTCCCCGCCTCCCACCCTCACCCCTACCCCACACACACCTGCGGGCAGTCGCCCACACCTGCATCTCCCGGGGCCATACGGAAGACGAGTCCTGGGCCCGCTGAACCCGTCCAGACACTCCCAGTATCCCCATCCCGGCCCTCACCTCAGCTCGCCCTCGCGGCCCACGTCGATGGGTCCGTCGGACTCGCTGTCAGAGCCGCTCGGTTCCCTGGGCCGCTTCATGGCCAGCGCTGGCTCCAGGTCTCCGCGCGGCGGTGCGGGCTACCGGCCGGGAAGTCGGGCCCCGCCCCGGCCCCGCCCCGGCCCCGCCTCAGCCCCGCCCAGCCCCGCCCAACCCCGCCGCCCTTTCCCAGGGCCCTCTCCTGCGCCGCAGCCCCTGGCGCCCCCGCGCCCCCTCGCCCCCGCGGTGACGCGCAGGCCGAGCCGTGGGAAGGCCCCGGGCGGTCACCGCCCCCTCCGACGGCTGGGAGGTCCGGCTCCGTTCCGCAGTCCTGGCCGCCGCGCGCTGGGTGGCCTTGGGCAGGTGCCCTTGGAGCCCCCCGCCCTCCCCGGGAAGCCAGGGGTCCCCGTCCGTCCCTGGTCTGAGCGGGGCGCTGCGGGCGCTGCGGGTCTGCCCCAGTTTTTGCAAGCGTCGAGCCCACCGGCTCCTGCCTCCTGGCGTTCTGGAGGAGGCAGACACTTCGGGTTTGGTGAGGTTGGTGGGGGTGTCTGTGGCCTGATCTTCGACAAGAATCTCCCAGCAGCTTTTCCCATAGGGATACAAAGCAAGTGGAATGTGTGTGCTGGAGGGGGGAGGAAAGGCTCTATCATGAGAAGAGGCTGTCATTCCCGCCAAGAATGGCTGAGGTTGTGCCTGCGCCACCCGAGCAGAACAGCTCAGGCCAAGAGAACCAGACTGGATGGTGGAGGGGGGGTGGGTGTCCCTGGGAATCGGTTTCCAGTTCACCAGAGGCATTACTGGCCTGGGAGGCCAAGAGTGCCAGGAGAGGGCTCATTCTCCAAGCTGTGGCAGGGCCTCACAAAGGGGGGGTGGGGAGGTACTCTCCAGCCTCCCTTCCTGGGTCTCCTCAAGAGCAGGGAGGAGGAGATGGGAAGGTCTTGATGTGGTGGGTCAGACACCAGAGGTCTCTCCCCTTGACCTGCCCACAAGGACACAGAGGAAGCCACCCCTTCACTTGGGAGAATAGGATTGTTCATCTGAGAATAACTGTGCTTTCACCCCCACAGCAAAACCTGCTTGGGGACACTTGGTTAGGGTAGTGTGAAATAACATTCCTGTGCCCCCTTCCACACACGTTCACAGACACAACCACATGGCCAAGTACACAAACGCATACACACTCTGATACACGGGTAGCAGGAGCAGTTTGCACCTGCAGCCTGTGTTTCCTCTTCTTTAGGAGGCCCTGGTGGTCACCCCAGCCACACCTCTGGTCTCTTATTCCAGGTGCCCTCAAGCACTCACATGCCTTCCGTGGACATATACTAGTGGGGTGGAAATCTCAACCGACACAGAGGTTGCACAATCCATGCACCACTATGCATTCCCTGGAAAGGCAGAAATCAAAGATGCCACCGGATAGCTGCCCTGTGAAATGACTCAGATTGCAAGGCCTGGCAGTGGAGCAGATTTACAGGGGAAGGTCAAGGGGTCTGTTGAGGGCATGTTCATGGGAGATGCCCCAGGTCCTCGAAATGGGATGCACAGTTAAAGAGGGGGTCTGGAGCTCAGAAAAGAGGTCTAAGCTGGATACTTAAATCTGGAAGTCATCATGTAATAGGTGGCACATAAAAGCTACAGGAGTGGACGGATTACCCAGAGAGAAAGTGTGGGTGGAGATAGAGCGAAATAGTTAACAGGGAGCTACTTACAACACCTGAAACTGTTTTGTAAGTACTAACTCATTTCATTCTGGACAGCTCTATAAAGTAGTAATATTATTATCATCCCCACTTTACAAATGAGAAACACTGAGAGGACCGGAAGTAAATGGAAGGACTGGAATTCAACAAGAGAATTGGGTTCCAGAACCAAACCATTAGGCTTTATTCCCTTGTATAGCTCTTAAACATCAGGCTCTGTAATCTGGTACTGAGTCTAGAGTTAGGCCATCAATATAATAGCCACGAGACACATGTGGCTACTAAGCACTTGCAACGTGGCTGGTCTAAATGACTATGTGTAGTAAGTGTGAAGTACACACCAGAATTGAAAGAGAGAGAGAAAAGAAAGGAAGGAAGGTAGAAGGGAAAGAAGGAAAGAAATCCCATTGGTCTCTTTAGAGAGGGAGGCAAACCATAAAAGACTCTTAAATGCAGAGAACAGGGGTGCCTGGGTGGCTCAGTCGGTTAAGCGTCCAACCGACTTCAGTTCAGGTCATGATCTCATGGTCTGGTCTGTGGGTTCAAGCCCCGGGTTGGGCTCTGTGCTGACAGCTCGGAGCTTGGAGCCTGCTTCGGATTCCGTGTTTCCCTCTCTTTCTGCCCCCTCCCCCACTCACGCTCTGTCTCTCTCTCTCTCTCTCTCTCTCTCAAAAATAAATTAAAACATTAAAAAAAATTCAATACAGAGAACAAACTGAGGGTTGATGGGAGTGGGTTAAGGAGGCATTAAGGAGGGCACTTTTTAGGATGAGCACCGGGTGTCATACTTAAGGGAGAATCACTTCAGGGTTCTACTCCTGAAGCCAAGACTACACTGTATGTGAACTAACTTGAGAATTAAAAAAAAAAAAAATCTCATTGATATCTTTAATATTGACTCACATGTTAAAATGATAATATATATATATATTGGATTAAATAAAATACTAAAATTAACTTTGCTTCTTTTCTTTTTCTTTTTTTTAAATTGGCTACTAGAAAAAATGTTGTATATGCAACTCTCATTATATTTCTATTGGGCAGTGCTAATCTAGTGCAGGGTTACTTGACCTTGGCACGATTGGCATTGGAAAACTATTGGTGGGGGGGGGGGGAGTTTGTTCTGTGCATCGCAGGATGTTTAGTAACATCTCTGGCCTCTACTCACTAAATGCCAGTAGTACCTACACCACTTAAAAATGTCCCTAGATAGTACAAAATGTCCCCTAGAGGAGAAACCACTGCTGGCTGAGACCACTGGTCTAAAGAAAGTCCAACATTTGGGCTTTGAGTGGAAGAGAAAGAGCTGCCAAAGGAGACTGGGAAGGAACAGCCAAGGAGGTGGAGGAGAGCCAAGGGGGGTGTTACAGCAGCCAAAAGAGTGTTTCAAGTACTTGGTCATGATCCTTTAAAATGTCAGTCAAGTCACGTCACTCCCTGCTGAGAACCATCCATAGGTTTGCCATCACATTCAGAATGAATGCCAACTGCTTACCATGGCCTCTACATAGGGTGACTATATAATTTAGCATCTAAACCTAGGGCACCCTTGAGAGTGAAAGGAGGCAATAGTAATAACTATGCCGGGACAGCCCAAGGCATGCAGATGTGTATGGTCATCCTAAGCCCTTGCTCACTGCCCTTGCCTTGCTCACTCAGCTACTAGAACCTTTTTGATGCTCCACCAAGATTTCAGGTTTGTTGCTACCACATGGCTTTACGTTTGTTGTTCCCTCTACCTGGAACCCTCTTCCTCCAGATCTTCTTAGATTACCTTACTTTGTTCAGGACTTTACTCAAACATGACATCCTCACAGAGGATCCTCCTGACCTCCTATCTAAAATAGCCACCAATCCCCTAGTCACTCTGTGTCCCCTCCCTCACTTCATCTTACTTTGCAGCATCTATTAATGTCACTGCCATTATATTATGTATGTTGATATATTTGTTTAAGTGATCCCTACACCCAGTCTAGGGCTTGAACTCACAACCCCAAGATCAAGAGTCACATGCTATACTGACGGAGGCAGCCAGGTGCCCTGATATATTTGTTAATTGTCCGTGTCCCCAACCAGAAGATAAACTCATTGAGGGTAGAGATTTGTCCCTTTCGTTCACTGCTGACTCTCCAGCACCCAGCACAGTGTCTGGCATGTAGTAGATGTACAATAAATAAATACTGGATGGCAGAATAAACTCATTTGAGAAGCTTGTCTGTGATGGCAGAGTAAGCTAGGACAATAGCTGGAGGGTGATGTAGAATCCAGGGTTTGTTTGCTTCTGCTTTTGTTTTGTTTTAAGATGGGAAAGAGTAGAGTATGGATCCAGTAGCAAGGACTTTTATGAAAAGGCTTCCAGCTTGACAATGGAGTTCCCGGGGGTGGGAATCATGTTTGTTGCTCATGACTACGTCCCTTAATACCTAAGAAAGTGCCCAGCTCATAGTGGGCATTCTAAAATAGTTATAAAAGAAATAAATGAAGTAATGATGATGTTGATAACACAATTCTATTGCATTTACTGTATTCCAAGCATCGTACCAAGTATTTTGACATCTATGAACTCGTTTACACCTCACAACAGTCTTAGAGGTTACTGCGACTCTCTATTATAATCCCGCTTTTTTGAGACATAGGGAAGTTAAATAACTTCCCCGAGATCACACAGCCAGTAAGCGGTCGAGCTGGGATCTTACCGAGGCAGGCTGGCACCAGCTGGTAACCACTGCATCCTGCATCAGAGTGGGGGAAACCAAGCAGGAGACTCCTGCATCAGGCCAGGCAGTAGGGACTGGTTTCAAGGCAGAAGAAGAAGGAACAAATCCAAGTGATGCTGGATCGTTGTCTGGGTGACTGAGTGAGTAAAGGTGACAGGCACCAATGGGAACACAGGAGAAGGTGAGAAGTTCAGTGTGGCCATACTGTTTGTGAGACCCATGGAATACTGGTAGGAGAACCTGGAAAGAGGCCTGGCCTGGAGTAGACTGGAGACTGGTAGACTGGAAACCATGGGGGTACAGGAGATACCCAGGGCAGCTAGTGCAGAGCAAGAGGGAGGAGACCTGGGATAGAACCCTGGGGAGCAGCAGGGAACTCTGGGAACGCTGGGAAGTCTGGGAAGGGAAACTCTGGGAAGCAGGAGGAAAATCAGAAAAGAATGGAGTGCCAGGGGCCAAGGCCAGAGAAGACCAAGCACAAGCTCTGGGTCACCAGTCCAGGGACTCAAAGAGTAAGATGTGCAGTCACAAGGTCACAGAGGCCCTGGCATGAATGGGTGGGTCAAGGCAGTGGCCAGATCCGTGGATTGGGAAGTGTCTGTGGGATGCAAAAGCAGTTTTGAAGAAGAGGCAGGTCCATGA